GACCCCCTAGTTTACGACGCAGCCTTGGAAAATAAGTTTGGTGATAGATGGGAAAGTGCTAAGAACGCCTTAAGACGCATGTGGCAATCAAAAACCCCCAGCAAACCCATCCCCGAATACTTGGAGCTTCAAAACGTGGGGCAGCCGGAGGTAGCCGGACGGGAAACCGTAGAGTGGGCAAAGCAAGAGCTAGCGCAGCGTTATCCTAATTTCGAGGCCAACGACGTAAAACTTACGGAACGCGAAAACAAAGTCCTCATAAGCGTCAAAGACATGAGATACCCCGACAAGAACCGCTGGACAAAACCACAGCTTCTCTTTGATGAAAATGACTCGGTCAAGGTTAACGTGGCAAGATTAAGGGGTTTTCAAGAGACTACCCGAAGTGCGTTGGACCGGCTGGAAACCCTTAACGAAAGGGTTGCGCTAGAAAAACGCGCCGAGGAGCTGCAAAAGGCGTTGGAGAAAAAAGACGCAGAATACGCAAGGCAAAGTCAACTACTCGCTGATGCTGAGAAGGGGTCTGCCCATCGAGATGAAAGAATGAAAGAAATGAGGGATCATTTAGATAAAGCCCTGCGTGAAAGAGATAAAGCACAAAGGGATCTAGAAGAATCTCAAAGCTCTGGCACCTCAACGGAAGCGCTGCGAGAAACGCTGGAAGAAAGGGAGGAAGAATACATGAAGCAAAACCAACGGCTTGCCGACGCGCATAGAAGGGAGGTCGAATTCAAAGATCAAGAAATAAGGGAGCTGGTAGAACAAAGGACTAAAATTCGGCGTGAAAGAAATCAAGCTCAAAGGGCTCTTAACCTCGCCCTGCAAGAGTTAGACTTAACTAGAGACGACGCTAAGGACCTGCAAACTACCATAGCTGGCTCTTTAGAGGAAAGGCGGCGGTTGGTTGGCGAAATCAACACCAAAGAGGAGCAAATCCGACAAAGAGATCAGGCCATCGAAGACCTGGAGGGGCAAATAGAGCGACAGCAAGAAGTAATCGAGGACCAAACTCGTGCCGAAGAGGAAAGGGAGGCAGCTCGAAAGGAAGTAGAAACGCTTGAGGTGCGCCGCGC